TTCTGTAATGCAAATTTTTTGCTGCTTTGCCTGAAGGAAAAAGAAAGACAAAAACTTATTTTTAATAAATATCCCTTTTCCTTTAGGTGACCGAGAACCAATAAAGAGAACTTATTTCCCTAATATATAAAATCCTTCAATCCTTTCAACACAAATATGGACAACTGACGTCCAAACCAAACCTGTACAGAGCACAGTGTACAGTGTACAGATCAGAACTGATAATTGAGGATTTACGCGGTCGAATTTGTTATTTTCAAGACGGCTAAAAAATGGTTTATTTTGGTGAAAACCTGGTTTGTAAAACCACAGGTCGGATAGAGGGCGTACGAAATTTGTCAAAAAATGAGGTTAGAAATATATCTGGACAGATATAGACCGCATGCCTGTAATTTTAAATAATCTAGATTTGTTGAAATTATAACAATTTTCTTCTTTCATGTGGCTTCATATCAAAGGTTCAACATTTACCTCCTTTTTAAAAATAAATTAATATGTATATTGCCAGCTTTAATGTTCCATCATACCCATGGTCCCATCTTTTTCTGCTTCCTTTCTCAGATGTTAATTGTTTTGCCTTAATGTTGGGACATTTTTTAAAAAGACATGTCTATGAGATATCATGTCCATGAAATTTGCTGTTCATTAAATTTTGATTTAATTTCGTCCTTCCCCCCCCCCCCCCCCCCCNCCAATAGGAGTATAATCTATGTTTATACTATTTAATAAGTGGATATTGATCTATCTCGGGGGCAAGTGTGTATATCTAAAGTGTATTTAACAAGATCTCTCTGTGTATGTTTATTTAATTTTCAGGGATGCAACAAAAACAACGGTGCGGTATTTGAGGGGTTCATGGATTATGACTGGTTTTTGCCACAATACTCCTCTTTAAAAGCATTTGTCTTGCTGTTTCATAATATGAATGGACAAAATGAATATATTCTGATAATCTTTTCATTTACAAACATTGTAACAATTGTAGCTTGCATTGATTTATAATAATTTAAATCTATAATTACTTTTCCCCTTCATATATTTATCCTTGAATGGATGCTGTAAACCTGCAATATATTTAGATGTCGTCTTTGTTACAGCAAGCTTTTAGGAAGAAAAACATATATTTTATAACAAAAGCACAAGATAGCCCAGCGGTTCGGGATAATCTAAATATATACATAGATTCTAACAGCCATATAGTTTACAAAAAAAATAGCGGGGTTTCGGCCGAAATTCTTAACTTAAACATAACATTTAAACAATTTTAGCCTTATTTGACATAAATAATAGGTTTATGGAATAAACTCATTTTGGATGACCCCCCCCCCCTAATATCCAAATGTGCCCCCCCCCCCTGCTCTTCCTTCTTCTATCCTATCGATCTTAGCTCTATATTTTGCCCAAAAACTTCTTTGAAGAAAATTAAGCATATTTTTTGCTCATTTACATATAGGATTCAAGCATGGCAATGGTTCGTGACTTAATAAACTTAGATTTTTCAATTAAAAGCAATCCAAGAAAGTGTAACAGACCTTATGTTAAATAATATTTAATAATTTAATACATAATAAAAATGTACTATCGAGTAATTATGTTCAATTCAAAAAGTGTAAAAAAAACAATTCACAATAAATCCATAAAAATTGGTTTGAAGACTATTTAACCAGTCTAGCCACTGCAAATTAGACAGACTGAGAAATGGGATATTACTGGTACAACTAAGTGACCTCGTAGCTCCTCTGGTTTTAATTATACCCTAAAGTTTAAAAAAAACTAATTTATTCATGGTTACATTTTAGAGATTCAAAACATCTTCGTTTTCTTAATATCTCTTCAATTAGAGAATTTATGATGGAAAACATTCATGAAGATTTCAATATTACCAGAGGCGTATTCAGGGGNATCTACTGATTTCAGGGGGTTTTCAGATCCCAACGGGTGCTGAGCCCTTCCCCTGGAGAGAAAAAAAAATTTAAGCCCCCCCTGGACAAATTCCTGAATACGCCCCTGAATATTACGTTCAATTTTCTGTAGTTCAACGTGCAACAAAACATATTACATGAAATAGAATTATTCCTTACAAACAACCCAAGGAGAAAGCTTTTTCTTTGTGCAATGTTTACTGAGTCATAATTTAACAATTTAATTTGAATCGACATGAACAAAAAGTATGTTTAGTAAAAATCTGATAAAATTAAAATACTAATCTTATGTATTAAAACTAGCCTTAGAGGGCGCTTCGCGCCCATCTTCTAAATTAATTGTGAACATGTTCTCTTTGTGTACATCGTAAAACAAAACAAAAATAATTCGCGGATTTTCACAAAAAAATTTGTGGATTTTCAAAATTTTCAAAAATTTAATGAAGATCGAATATTGATGGAGACAAATATTTGAAATTTTGATCATTCATAAACCTTCCCTGTGGTACCAAGATGTCCCACAAAAAATTTGGGCAAGATCGGTTCAGCCGTTTTGACGTTTATTGGATACAAACAAACAAACACCCAAACAAATAGACAGACAAGCCCAAATTTATAGATTAAAATTCTAATCTTCTATGTATATAATAAAACAAGACTTTTTGTAGATATAATCCTTTTAGCCGGCCAAACGGGTTAAAAAAAATGTTAGCATCATTCTTTAAATTCCACGGGCAACGCCTGGCACTTCAGCTTGCAGATAATAAAAATAAATATCTAGATTCTAGAAACACCACTTCATATTACAATTTAATTATACAAAATTGTAAAAAGAGAATCTTTAATAAATCAGTAACAATAGATTTAGTATTTTGTGACTCATTTTATTGCATAAAGAAATCTATGTATTTAATGCTGCTTAACAGATATCGCAGAAACTATTTGCACGTGCAAAAGTCATTTATAAAAAAATCTATTTTATATTAAACAATTTTAATTTTTCTTCTATACGAATTAGAGGATGTCTTCTGAGGCTCTCAAGCTTCCCAGCTTTGAATCTATTTGAATTCTAAATCAATAAAAATTGCGTATTTTGAACTATTTGTCACCTATTGATTGAAAATAATGAAAGTTGCCCCTGAATTGAATTCACGAACATTGTCATCCCAACACAAAGGATTGAGAAGCTCAAAACATTATTTTGGCGGGAAATGGATTTTCGAGGTTCGGAGATTTTTGACAGTAACCCGGTCGATCGAGGTTGCGTGACTTATCTCTAAATAAAGTTCATGTTTCAATATGGGGAATTTTCTAAATGGACTGCATTTCGGGCTTAAATAAAAAACACTAGAATCTCTCTAGAAGGGGCTGATTCATTTAGTGCACTGTCCTTTTATATCAAAATATATATTCTTTAATAACAATGACACAGAATGTAAATATATAACAGGGAAGTAGTCAGAGAATTAAAGATTTTAAACTCTTCATATGATTCCTAAGTTTTTCGGGATACCCATGGGATACCCTTTAGTTGAACTAGGTTCAACTGATTCAACTACTTCTTTGGAAAAATAGAATGGTTCTTAAATCCTATCAAAATATATATTCTTAAATAAAATGAGACAAAATGTAAACATATAACAGGGAAGTAGTCAGGGATATAAAGAGGATAGAGGTAAGGGAAATAAAGAGGATAGAGGTCAGGGAAATACAGAGAATAGAGGTCAAGGAAATAAAGAGGATAGAGGTTAAGGAAATAAAGGGGAGGGTGATATAGGTTGCAGGGAAATAAAGAGGATAGAGGTCAGGTAAATAAAGAGAGTAGAGGTCAGGGAAATAAAGAGTATAGAGGTCAGGTAAATAAAGAGAATAGAGGTCAAGGAAATAAAGAGGATAGAGGTCAGGGAAATAAAGAGGATAGAGGTCAGGTAAATAAAGAGAATAGAGGTCAGGGAAATAAAGAGGATAGGGGTCAGGGAAATAAAGAGGATAGAGGTCAGGGATATAAAGAGGATAGAGGTTAAGGAAATAAAGAGGATAGAGGTCAGGGAAATAAAGAGTATAGAGGTCAGGTAAATAAAGAGAGTAGAGGTCAGGGAAATAAAGAGAATACAGGCCAAGGAAATAAAGAGGATAGAGGTCAGGGAAATAAAGAGAATAGAGGTAAAGGAAATAAAGAGGATAGAGGTCAGGTAAATAAAGAGAGTAGAGGTCAGGGAAATAAAGAGTATAGAGGTCAGGTAAATAAAGAGAATAGAGGTCAAGGAAATAAAGAGGATAGAGGTCAGGGAAATAAAGAGTTCAATATTTTTGCCACTCTTTCTGATTCGTTTTGGTCATGCAATCCGGGCAGCAATATTCTTTGGTTTAATGTAAACACGTGACTCCTGAGTTCTAAAGGAGAAAGTTAGATGGAAAGACACATGTTCCTTTAAAGTTATGAAGGTTTGAATAAAAATGATAAAAATGATGTCTCTTTTATTTAATGCTAACTAATAAATATTCTTCGCAAACAACGTCCTTCAATTGGAAATAAAGCGTATGATATGCTCGTTTTGTAAATATTAAATATGTTTAAATACATATATTTTTTTTTGGTCTGAACATGAAACATGTTTTTCGTAGATCCAAAAGTTTTTTCTCCGTCGTTTATCAACGCTTTTGTGTTTAAATTCAATGAGCAGAAAGATCACATTGCCGACATTTATAAATTTATTCTTAGAAAACAAGTAATCTAATCTACAAAACAATGCAGTCACCAATTCCCACTCTTTCCCCGATTTCACTCTTTCCGGATCATATGTAACCCAAAAACATAAAAAAAATCATTTAAAAAACTCAGGGGGCCGGGGGGGGGGGGGTAAAATAAATAATTTTTTATCCCTTAAGAATAGTGCAGAATAATACAATTTCCTCCCCCTGTAAAAGTATTAGGTATTGCAAATAAAAAATCCAATTTACCCATGTATTGCTAAAAAGAGAGTATGAGCGTAAACGTGGCTGAACCACTTATTATTTTGTGCCAGATAAGGGGTTCAACCATGCTTTACTATTCATTATTTTACGCATTAAAAAATTTCTAATATTTATTTATCTGTGGTTTTTTCTCTAACTTACTGTACAATTCATTTAAATATTTTACAACAACAAAAAATAATAAAACAACTCAGAAAGAAATGTCAAAACTTACAATATCAAATATCTTTCCGATTAAGTATTTAGCATCAAATGCATTTTTTATGATGTAACTCTTCTTTATATTTCTAGTTTAGTAGAGTAGAGAATATCTAGGAAGTTAGCTCCAAGATCCTTCTATACTCCTAGTTTAGTAGAGTAGAGAATATCTAGGAAGTTAGCTCCTAGATTCTTCTATACTCCTGGTTTAGTAGAGTAAAGAATATCTAAGAAGTTAGCTCCAAGATCCTTCTATACTCCTGGTTTAGTAGAGTAGAGAATATCATGGAACCTAGCTTCTAGATCCTTCTATACTCCTGGTTTAGTAGAGTAGAGAATATCTAAGAAGTTAGCTCCTAGATCCTTCTATACTCCTGGTTTAGTAGAGTAGAGAATATCATGGAACTTAGCTCCTGAATTCTTCTATACTCCTAGTTAGTAGAGTAGAGAATATCTAGGAAGTTAGCTTCTAGATCCTTCTATACTCCTGGTTTAGTAGAGTAGAGAATATCTAAGAAGTTAGCTCCAAGATCAGCGACCAGAGATCGGTCAGGTATCTTCTGCGCCATCCCATAAACTGCAGCGCGCCCGGTCAACCTATAGAAGAATTTTCTTACAATGACCTTACAATTAGATCACCTAAAACTAAGGTGAAATGCACGTAGGATTAAAATATTAAATGTTTTTTGTCATAATCTCTCTTCTTGAAGAGTTATTGAGAAGAACATGTCTTGAATTCACAAAATGTATTAAAATTAATTTGCTTTTCTTACAATTTTGACTGAAATCAGAACAAGAGGAGCAACGAGGTCACGAAGTTGTACCAGTAATGTCAATACAATTTGACCTCCTGGCTAGTTTGCAGTGAAATATCCTCACCTATCTGGGTTCTCCTGAACCTTTCTCACACAGGTTTTTAGATCAGAGATAAACTTCTCAGCAACCCCTGGATAGAGAAGAGAATCATTTTTTCCCCGTTTTTTAAACATTCAGAAGTTCCGGGCTGCGAAGATCAATATATTTAAGTTTGGTTTTATTACAGAAATAACCAGAAAACTCTAAAGTAGGAAGACAACTTTTAATCTCAATCTATGACTGCAATGAATATGAGACACCACAACTGTGCGATGTGAAAAGGCCACAATTCACTTAATAACTTATTAAACAAGGTACTAGTAAAAAATTACTTCTTAACCACATCAAATACAATTAATTATTGCTTAAATGTCGTCTTCATGTTCTAAAGTTTTCTGGTTATCACTGTACACTATGCAAAATCCGGACATCATGGAAAATAATATATTTTCTGTTATTTTGTATATTTGCCTGGTTTAGTATGACTTGGAACTACATAAAGATGTACAGCTGTAGGATACTGCATACAAGATATTAACCATCCAGAACTCTACATATACATTGTTCTTATCATTATTATTATTATTATTAATATTATTATTATTATTATTATTATTATAATTATTATCATCATAATGATCCTGATCTTGATCCTGATCTTGATCCTGATCTTGATCCTGATCTTGATCCTGATCTTGATCCTGATCTTGATCCTGATCTTGAAATCCTACCTGCCCATGATGCATAAGAGCTGCCCATGTTGCAGCAATAATTCCCCCTGATCTAGATCCTGCCAGAGTTGGGGAAACAAATATTCCCCCGGACCAATCTGGTTGGATATAGTACTGCAACAAAATATTTCCAAAAATGCTTTCTTTGAGATTTGAATCCTACAGGGATAATGATATGATATTGAATCTTTAACAAATAAAAAATTGTTAAAAGATTTTATTTAAAATATGTTTTTTCAAAACCTCAACATTTTTGGACTAATCCCTGGAAGTGAATATATTCCTTTGAACTGTACATGATCACACTGCTACCCTAAACATTAGAAGATGAATGTAAACAACAGAAAACAAATTTAATTATTAAACAAATTATCTTTTTTTATCAGAACCAATCTAACATATTTTAGTAAGATTATAAAGAGTGTCCCCCAAAAAACTGTAAAGCAGGGGGATTGGGTGCTGGGGGGCAATTGTTGTTCACAATTAAGGTGTCATTAGAAAGCTTTATAGTTCAGTTATTGAAAGTTGTACATTTTTTATTCCTATGCCTCAAACTTTTTATGTTACAATCACTTCTTGTGGTGTAAGTCGAAAATCAATTTCCCGGATTTTTCAAATTTTTAATTTTCACATTTTATTATCATTTGTTCAAAATTTCTAAAAACATTTTAAAATGTTCGTTAATCTTTTTGAAACAGTAAGCTGTTGGTCTGAGGTTTCTTTATATGGAAAAATCTGCGCTAGTTTTATTTTTAACTGGAGAAAACTCCAGGAGCAGAGACAAATACCTTGGGAGCATAATCATGTCCAAACTTATGAGTATCTGCAGAGATACTTGTAGCTATTGGAGCAGAGACAAATACATTTTGGGTCTTTCCAAACTTATGAGTATAGGCAGAGACACAAGTGTAATCCAGGAGCTAATCTGCAGAGATTCATTTAAGTAACTCCAGGCGCAGAGACAAATATCTTGGGAGTATATCCAAACTTATGAGTATCTGCAGAGTGGCTGTAACTCCAGGAGCAGAGACAAATACCTTGGGATCATATCTTGTTATGAGTATCTGCAGAAGTGCTGTAACTCCAGAAGCAGAGAAAAATACCTTGGGAGTATATTCAAACTTATGAATATCTGCAGAGATACAGTGAAACCCTTAATAACGAATACATCGAAAGAGTTCATCAAATGTCGTATTCTTCACTTTCTGATATTGGAATGTTGCAGATTTTTAGTTTTTTTAATTAAATGATTATATGGAGCTCTTTAAAACTGTTCCCGCATATTCATAGCTCGCAAATACTGAAATTTACGTAATATAGTGTAAAACTCATTGAAAAGTTGTCAAGACGACATTTGATAAATTCTTCCAATGTATTTTTTATTAAGGGTTTCACTGTACTTTTTACTCCAGGAGCAGAGAAAAATACCTTGGGAGCATATCCAAACTTTTGAGTATCTGCAGAGATACTTGTTACTCCAGGAGCAGAGACAAATACCTTGGGAGCATATCGAAACTTATGAGTAACTGCAGAGATACTTGTTACTCCAGGAGTAGATACAAATACCTTGGGAGCATATCCAAACTTATGAGTATCTGCAGAGATACTTGTTACTCCAGGAGTAGATACAAATACCTTGGGAGCATATCCAAACTTATGAGTATCTGCAGAGATACTTGTTACTCCAGGAGCGGAGAAATCAAATGGCTCCAGTTCTAAACCAACATCTGCTGCAAATACAATCAGAAAACCTAAAAAATAAAATAGGTTAAATTTGAACTTGATCTTATGTCCTTTTTCCTCATACAAATATTAATTTTGATTTTCAATCAGCTCCCTTACTATCCCAAGACATAAGTGAATTTGATGTTCGCATATTATTAACAATTATGTTCATTAATGTTAACTCAATTAGGGTCAACCACTAAAAACGAAAACAACCATTGATCATTAACCTTGATCGTTAATCTTAACCATTAGCCTTGATTGTTAACACTAACCGTTAACCTTGATCGTTAACCTTGATTGTTAACCTTAACCGTTAACCTTAACCGTTAACCTTGATCATTAACCTTGATTGTTAACCTTTACCATAAACCTTGACCTTTAACCTTCATAATTAACCCTAACATTTTGCCTTCATCATTAAAATTTAACCATGCTTTTAGACATTGAATTTAAACCTTTATTTTTAATTGACATTAAAATGTTCCCATCATGACTTTTAACAAATTAATAGATAGATCGAATAATGAGAACTACCTCCAAGACATGCATCAACATGAAGCGGAATATCTAGTTCTAGACCCAGCTCTCCTAGCTCTAGGATAGGATCTAGGATACCATGAGGATACTGGGGTGCAGATCCTACCAGCATTACAGTGTTCCTAGACCAAATTATCAAATTTAGAAAAAATTATAACTTTATTTGGTAAAATTATAAATATAAACATGTTAAACTGGGACCAAATCTAATGAATTTGAGCTATGTCGCTAAACTTCCATCTGCCAGTTCAAATTTAAACCACCGCTTCAATTTATAAGATTCGGTCCCTGAACTATTTCAGAAGTTAGAACTTTTTTGGTGTTAATCTTGGGATCAAGCATTGATCTCCATCTTATGCATTTGCATATGTGGATTAATTTGATGCCAATTGGTGGTCAGTTGAGGGATGAAGCATTAAACCTCGATTTAAAAGTACCCACATTGGGTATCGAGATCAAAGGTTCCACTTTAACGGTACTCCAAACATTAGTTGAAACTTCAGATCAAATACTAACTAATCTTCTTAAATCATCCTTGATTATATATTACCGTCTGTATTACCTGTCTATATACTTTCTAAACTCTTTAATGTCTGGTTTAAAGGTGACCGGATTGACCGGAACATGCCTGACCTCCACACCGAGCAGATGACCAGCCTGCGACACGTGATTTTTTAAGAACATAATAACACACTGTTAGAAACAAGTCGTAAGAAATTATAAACAAATAGATCAGCAAAATCTTTTGTATAATCTTTTTGTTTGATAAAGATAATACTTTCTTTATTTTCGTTTTTATTATATGCTTTAATTTATGTTTACTTTGTATAGATAAGAATTTATGAAAACGTAATAATTATTTACAACTATTTTACAGGAAAGTTAAGGGAATTTTACTTTAGAGAAAATTGGTCTTTGGAACCTGTGGTTAAGTAAAATTTTTAATTTCCCGAAAAAGTAGTTGTACACAATTTTAACGTCTTTTGAGATGAAAATGCGCGAAATCTTTCCCGAAAATTTCGCAGAACTGATGGCTATTTTACATTACTGTCCCAAGGGACCAGACGCGGATCCTGGGGGGGGGGGTCCAGTGGTCGACCCCCCCTTTTGAAAAAATGGGGGCTAAGAGTATCTTTTGACCCCCCTTTTTCTGGAGACTAATCTAAAAGTTTACTGTAACTTGTTTTCCAGCAGATACTTAAATATGCTTTAGCAAAAAGCCAGAATGAACGTAACAGATTTAATGATCTGGCCCTATAATGAACATTCATAGAGACATCTTAGAAACCATAAAACCCACAAAAGTGTTAAAAGCTTTTATAGACAAAAATCCCCGTAAAATTGAATTAAATATATTCAATAGGTTTAGGGTTCATTTATCTTCATTTTTAACAAAAAAAAAATTGTAAAAATGCATAACAAAGTTGACAGGCTTTCTTTAATCTGGAAGATTAAATCTTATATCTTTATACAACTTTTATACAAAATTTTACTTTTAATCCTCATTTTTAGTGGTTTACATATAAATAATTTTTTTTTTTTAAATTTTAATAGGGATGGGCAATCCAGATTCATTTTGCAAAAACCTTTAATGTTTTTAGACTTTTAAAAGGTATTACGGCAAAATGAGAAGGTTTCGACATTTTAAAACGTTATTCTGTAGAAGTTTACCAAACATACAAATTTGTTACACTCGAAGAAAATACAAGGCAAAAACGATAGTTTTTGGGTTTTTAAACGATTGTTTATAGTTTGTTTTTGCCTTATGTTTTCACCTAGGATAACAAAATTGCATGTTTGATAATAGTAAACTTCTGCAGAAGACAATTTCAAATCGTTGAAACCGTAAATCTTTAAGAAGTCCATAAGTATTAAAAGTTTCTGTAAAACAAATCTAGCAATTGCCCATCGCTATATTTAAACCTACAGGGTAAACCACAAAGAATAGGAGTTAAGAACAGATTAAAACTCTACAATCTTGAAATCGCATCCTTTGGGGGAACTTGTAACTTAATTAGTGACATGAAAAAACACCCTTAACAAGATTTTGCGGTTAATATCTTAATCTTAAACAATATGTAAAATTGTAATTAGAAATTATGTAATGCCCATGGAAATGGAAATATATTTTTTATAAAGTAATATATCGAGTGAAAAAATTGTAAGTGGAGCTCTAAGGTAGAAAAATATTTTTACATAATGTAAGAGTAATTTTCTGTTTTGAGCACTTAAAATACTCACTTTTAATGCTTAAATTTCTTTAAAAAAATTTGCGGGGACTACGCCCCCCTGCACCCCCACCTCGCTCACTACGTTTCGCTCGGTACTATACCCAATATTATTCAGACTTTGACCCCGCCGTTATTAATTAATTAATAGACAGGTCGGTTGTGTACATCTGAGCTAAGCGTCACCTCTTCGTTTTATTACTCTATGTCACCTTGTCAAATCCAACATGGCCAGTCTGAGGAATCACAAGGTTTGGTTTATCTATCCCTTTACGTTCTCTAGATTTATATAATAAATATGTCTCTTAAACATATTTATTAAAAGTTTAGCAAATGATAATTTATAATTAATTCTCCTTTTCAAAAATCATTCTGTCCTTTGTGTCAATTGTCAATTTTTTTTCATGATTACAACGATTTACGAGGAACTAAATCAACAAACTTTATCATGCTTCTATATATATACTTTGCTTGTCTGTCTGTTTGTCTGTCCATTTGTATCCAAACTGAACCGATCGGGCCCAAATTTTGTGTGGTGCCTAACATTCCCTTGGGAAGGCTTAAGATGATCGAAATGTTAAATTTTGCCTCCAACAAAATTCGATTAGTATTAAATTTAGAAAATCCAAGAAATTTTTTTTCGTTTTTATTACACTATGTATACAAAGAAAGAGAAAACGCAGCGCTCTGAAAACCTAGTATTTAATATTTATCTAAACAATTACAATATACAATATACAATATACAAATAAACCAAATTTTATTACTTTCAAAACAAAAAATGTTGTCTTTTAAATGTTTTTTTTTTATTTTTATCAAATAGGATTTTTTTGTGGGGGGTATTTTTTTGTGGAGGTATACCTGGCATACCCCCTGTACGCTAGCACAGCAAGAATTATTGATTCAGTTCCTCCTGCAGGAATTTTAAATCAATCAATCAATTAATCTATAAACCGAAGAAAAGATTCATGGGTCTTAAAATGAAATAAGAGCCTTTTTTTGTGAACTTATTTCATTATTCTATTATACACGGTTACCGCAAAATATGAGACTTCAGAGACGACTGTACGGAATTTATTCAGTTTTTATTCTTACATTCATGGTTCTCTGCAGCTATAAAACTTGGTTCTTTCTAAGTCAAATTTATTTAAGGCATGACACCAACAACAATTTTCAACTCAAAGTGTTTCAGGTTGTCATTATAGTATCATCCTTTATGGGTAACCATTTATTTGAACATCAGCGTTGTTAAAAAGTCACATTTTATGTCTTTTTTAAAATCTTGAAAATATGAAAACTGAAAATATGGAAGACGACTTTGTATACACGTCTTTAAGTTGTTTTCGTTGTAAAACCTCATTAATACTTGGCTTATCAAGGACCTTACGTTATAATAAGGAAAGTTGCCATTTTAATCCTTTATAGAACCTAAAGAATTGATTACTCCCCCCCCTTCCACAAATTAAAACCTGTATACGCCCCGTGTAGCTTGATTAATTGATTTATAATTCCCTGAAGTCATAGTTCCAACCATATCTTCCCCTCCATGGAATAGTTCTCCTGTCATACGAACAACCTTGTAACACACAATGTTCTCCAAAATTAAGCCAGATTGTTTCTTGTCTATATTTTTTCTTTTTATTGGTAATGCATGGCTAGTAGCTTCTAATTTTTTAAATACATATTTTTTCCCTGATATTCATACAGATATCAGGAAACATATGCAGGGATAAATTACAAAATGATGAAATGGACTGTAAGTGTAATTTCAATTTTCAATTGACACTCCATGCGCAGATGGCAATTTTCCCGGTTTACAATGCATTGGTACCCTTAAAGTGTTGTCTGATTAAGTATGAATTAGATATCCATGCTTTTGTTTCTTTAAACTGTTTGTTTCTATTTGCGGGTTCTCTGCAAATACAGTGAAACCCTTAATAACGAATACATCGGAAGAATTTATCAAATGTCGTCTTGACAATTTTTCAATGAGTTTTATACTATATTACGTAAATTTCAGTATTTGCGAAAATAAATTAAATTAGCCGTGAATATGCGGGAAGAGTTTTAAAGAGTTCCATATAATCATTTAATTAAAAAACTAAATATCTGCAACATTCCATTATCAGAAAGTGAAGAATACGACATTTGATGAACTCTTTCGATGTATTCGTTATTAAGGGTTTCACCGTACGACAGATCTTGCTCATAAGAAGCAACGGAGAAATGATCAAAGTCAGAAAAACGACGGTATCTTCCACATTTTTGATTAGACTAAGATATTAAGGCCAAGATTCCGTTGTAAATTGCAGCATTGCCATCTTTGCATGGAGGGTCACTTGACATTATGCTTATTAGTCCCTTTAATGGGAATCATATTTAAAAGGCAGAATGAAAACGACCACTATTCCGACTGTTAATATTTCGTGTTTTTTTTAACGTTATTTGCATACAGTTGTAGTGTTAATATTTCGTTATTATTAAAATTAGATCTGTGTAATTAATCATAAATTATACAATACCGAAATATACAGAGCTTATCAGAAAACATGTGACATGATTGTTTTCAATTTCAATTTTTTTAAATTTGAAATGTATTTATATTTAAAGTTACCTCTGCCTCCATCTTTCTAAAGTTAAAAATCAATAAGAAAAAACTTCATCTTGGTTAAAATCAACTAAACTTAATTAGTTAAACATTTTATATGTTGGATAATGTCGCTCAAATATATTGGGTGAATATTTTTTTAAACAATTTACGCAAAGAAAAAAAAAATGATAACTAGGAAACCAGGAGAAGAAGTCGACTTTTAGACTCAAGTTATGACTTTAAATAGTCCAATCAACATAAGGCACAACAATTGTGCAGTGTAAACAGACCCATTTTACGCAATAAGTGTTTAATAACTTATTAGTAAAGCTATTTGCTTTATAACCAATTCAAATTAACTTCATTATTGGTGTAATGTCGTCTTCCTATTCTACAGTTTTCTGATTATTAATGTAAAAATAAATTTTTGAATGAATTGATGTTTTATTCCTAATTCCCGGATATGCGTCAGGATTGAGAGGATTGGTATACGCAGTTGCACTGTACGCACGTGTTATAACTCTGAATCAAAATAGTAGAATATACGTGGTGTCCCAATAAACATGGAAATTGAGTGACGATTTCGAAATTGTTTTTTTAAGTAAAACAAGAAAATTACAGAATATAACAGAGTAATCTTGTCCTTCTTCACGGTTCAGCGTTCATCTTGTCGAGACATTATTGACACATCTTTACAGCCATTTACCGTTTTCATAAAATAAACTCTAGCAGACATAATAATATTATGGCGTTTGAAATCAGGTATTCCTTAATGCTAATTCTTAACAAAGACGATCTTAAATTCGTCACTAAATTCCCATGTTTATTGGATTACCCTGTAAAATATTTTTAACGCTACTAAATCATCAAAGTTTGTGAGCTATGTATTGATGACAAATCTGCAGATATTAAGAACTCCATATTTGTTTTGCAAATATTTTACTTTGGTTTGGGGTTATGTTATCCCCTTCAATTCTAACGATATTAAAACCTGAACATTGACATTAAACCAGAACCAATAAAAAAGTTAAACATAATAAAGGGTCACACACACGACTCAGAGACGACTGTACGGAATTTTTACTGTTTGTTTTTCTTATATGTTTGATTTTCTGCAATTGTAAACTTGTTTTCTTCATTAAATAAGACATTAATATCTAAGGCATAAGATTTAAGTCAACCATAATACTGTCATATGTCATGAGTTTCAGGTCGTCATTATAGTTTCACCATTTGTGGGTCACCCTGTTTTATAGTCTCACCATTGTGGGTCACCCTGTTTTTAGAGATAAAATATTAACTCTTGATATGCCCACGAGGAAAGAGGAAAATATGCAAATATTTAGTAAAAGATATTTTTGAGGACAATTGATGTCTGCCTTGGATTTGCATGATAAATTGTTTAAGTGAGGACCAGACTGTGGAATAAATCTGTAAAGTGAGGACCAGAAAGCTCAAGTGTCTTAAAAAAGGTTTATAATATTTGTTTGTGGTCTGATTTCCATAACTTTGTCTCCTATACCCCTTCCCCCAAGCTCAACAAGTATTTATTTCAAAAGACAGTTGCAAAAAAGAGAACCAGTTAGAATTCGAATAAGAAGAAGGAAGCTAGAAAGAGGTGCAATTGTCTAAGTTGCGCTAAGAGTACAAAATGAGTATGAAACACCAATTGACCTTTTGGTTAGTTTTAACTTGGACAAGATAAAGGTCTAGTTAACGAGAACTTGATTCTATTTCTAACTGTGTATGATGTTATGCAACACTCATAAAATTTTAAAATGTCAAGATCATTTTTTGAGTGAACGTGAGGAATGTCGTCTTCTGAAATTATAGTATAAGAGCTTACCTTACAATGCTCTCCTCAGGCTTATGACAGGTTCCTTAAAAAAAGAAAAAAATATATACAGTGTCCGAATTTAATGAATTCGAGCCGAGTCTTAAATCCGCCAAAAACCGGATTCAACTGAGCGCCGGCTTAAATCTTGAAACAATGAATACCAGTTTAGATGGAGTCAACCATATTTGAGCCGCGGCTTAAATTTAAGCTTCGGCTCAAATTCTTTAAATTCGGCCTCTGAACAACAAATATCTTGTTCTTTAAACACGGCAAATATAAGAGACCTAAAAAGTAAAAGCTTTAGCTAACGTACGCCTCATTGCATTTGTGCATGCATATACAACATTTGAATTGAATAAATGAATGAAAAGCGTATTTTTAGAAAAACAAAGAAACTTAAGATTCAGTTTTATTTGTATAATTGTTTAGAATTTCGAATTTAAAATGTTTTGTTTTTTTTGTGGAAAATGTTGAGACAAATAGTAAAATTTTTCACCCTCTGATCACTAGAATTTGTCTAGAAGGAGGGGGGGGGATTCATTTGGTGTACCGTTCCGGTTTGCCTTACATAGTTTGCTTGTGTACTGTACGTATTCTTGCTCTATGGTAGGATGACAGCATACAAATCGACCCAGTACGTTGAACCGGAATGAGAGGTATAAAAAAATATTTGAATTGTCTAAATTTGGTTTAGAAAAACAGGTTCCTCCCACTGCACCAGTGGTTAAAAGTGACTAAAATTCATTAGATTTTTTTTATAACAAGATATAAAATAGACCTGAGAGTGCACAGTCTCCACCTTGAGATAATAAGATATAAAATAGACCTGAGAGTGTACCAGTCTCCACCTAGAGATAAAAAGATATAAAATAGACCTGAGAGTGCACCAGTCTCCACCTTGAGATAAAAAGATATAAAATAGACCTGAGAGTGTACCAGTCTCCACCTAGAGATAAAAAGATATAAAATAGACCTGAGAGTGCACCAGTCTCCACCTTGAGATAAAAAGATATAAAATAGACCTGAGAGTGCACCAGTCTCCACCTTGAAGTCTGCAAGATCCAACAAATCCTATGCAAATAATAAAAAAATCTCATTGAATAAGAATAAAACATTATTCTTTGAAATTCGTTTTACCTGGATTTCGTCTAAAATCTCCTCTTCTTTCCAGCCTTTGTCTGGTAGTTTAGTTATATACTTTTTGCCTTTGAGCTTAAATAAACATTTTGTATGATTTTTTGTAATTTTTTACTAATATACAGTTAAACTCTAAATGAGCCATACATCGAAAGAATTTATAAAATGCCGTCTTGACAATTTTTCAATTGGTTTAATACTTTTGTAACGTAAATCTCAATATTTGCGAAAATAAATAAATAGCCATGAATATGCGGGAACAGTTTTAAAGAGCTCCATATAATCATTTAATTAAAAACTAAAGAACTGCAACATTCCATTATCAGAAAGTGATGACTACGACATTTGATGAATTCTTTCGATGTATGGCTTATTTAGGGTTTAACTGTACAATGTCTAAAAATGATAAATAAAAAATGTTAAAATACAAAGTTAAAAACGATTTTTCTTAATTAAAACAAGGGAAAACGACAATTAACAGAAAGGCAGACATTTTGATGACGATGATATAATTACAGTAATCTGAAGGCTTTCTGCATGTATTCTGACTTTCATATAGTTGTTAGATGATGTACTAAACGCTAAACGGTTTACAGTTTCAGGAAGCCAAGAATTTAAGAAAAAAGAATATTCCGTTCAGTCGTCTCTAAAGTCTTATTATATTCCGAACAATCGTCTCTAAAGTCTTATTATATTCCGTACAGTCGTCTCTAAAGTCTTATTATATTCCATACAGTCGTCTCTAAAGTCTTATTATATTCCGTACAGTCGTCTCTAAAGTCTGATTATATCTGGGTAACCCTGTACCTGGGCCTCTACATCAATCCTTAAAGAAGTTAAATTCTTTTCCAATTCTTGATCCACCAGTCCTCTGATACCTGGTAGCTTTCTAGATATATAGCTTTCTAGATATATAGCTTTCTAGATATATACCAGTCCTCTGATACCTGGTAGCTTTCTAGATATACTGCTTTTTAGATATATAGCTTTCTAGATATATAGCTTTTTAGATATACAGTTCTAAAGATATACAGCTTTATAGATATACAGATTTCTAGATACATAGCTGTGTATATATAAAAATGGCTTTCTAAGGATAAGCATCCTGATGTACAGTTTTCTAGATAAGATATACAATAATACAGTTTTCTAGATAAGATATACAATAATACAGTTTTCTAGATTAGATATACAATAATACAGTTTTCTAGATAAGATATAAATAATACAGTTTTCTAGATTAGATATATAAATAAACAGTTTTCTAGATAAGATATACATTAATACAGTTTTCTAGATAAGCTATACAATGATACAGTTTTCTAGATTAGATATATAATAATACAGTTTTCTAGATAAGATATACAATAATACAGTTTTTTAGATTAGATATATAAAAATACAGTTTTCTAGATAAGATATAAAATAATACAGTTTTCTAGATAAGATATACAATAATACAGTTTTCTAGATAAGATATACAAAAATACAGTTTTCTAGATAAGATATGCAATAATACAGTTTTCTAGATAAGATATATACAGTAATACAGTTTTTAAGATATAGACATTTCTCTTGTGCAGATATAGGTCTTTAACTAGAAATAGAACATTCTATGTATCCGCATTATTCATGTTATAGAAAAAGAGTGCAGTTGTCAAGTGATTGGCGGGTCAACATGAAATACGCTCAAGTTCCATCAAAATGATATTTCTGTACGTTGTCAAGATTATGAGATAAATTTCTTTTATTTTTCCTACTAACAACCTTGTAGGCTGTCAGAAGTTATTAAGAAAGTATAATTTTACCTTGTTAATTTCATCAATTTTCCCAAACTGAAATTCCTAAAAATATCAATAATAAAAAAACATATGCCCGTGGAAAAAAAGAACATTTTAGAAAAGAAAATTGGAAAAAAATTCCGAATTTTAGAACACATTCTTGGTACTCAATATTGGCATTGTCAACCAGGGAAGAACGTTTAGTTTTACCCAGAAACAACCGTTCGTGAATCTATGATTATTCTCAATGCGCTCTTCAATTTCGTGGAAAGTTGGTTTCGATAAATCCTATTCATCAGTTGAAAAATGGTTCCTCGTCAATGGCGCACCCAACCCTAAATACGACATTTTCTTAAGTAATTCTTGAACAGAAAATTCTTCTTTAAGGCCTAAAATAAAAATTTAAGTATTTTTATCCTCTATTTTATCCTTTAATTCGAGAATTTATCTTATATTGCCCGTGGAAAAAAGAATGAAAAAAAATTCATGTGGGTTAGCCTTTAACACCCCCCGGTCACCCATGAGTGTCCACAAAAAAATTCAGCCCAGTCGGTCCAGCTATTTGGCCGGCTATGCACAACATAAGTATAAGAATGTCTTGTTTTATTATATAGATAAACTCTAATTATTAACTAACCAAAACAAATCTATAACACTAGAAATTCAAGGCGCTTCGCGCCCTTCTTTCTAGGCTTTAAGGGCGCTTCGCGCCCATCATCTATTTAAATTGTGAACATGTTTTTTTTGTTTACATTTTAAAACAAAGAAGAAAAAATTTTTGAGGATTTTTAAAAAAATTCGTGGATTTTCGAGAATTTAAATTTTTTTACAAAATTAAAAACCTTTAAAACACATTTTTTTAATTTTTATCATTCATAAACCTTCCCTGTGGTCACGTGATGTCCCACAAAAAAGTTTGGGCCCGATCGGTTCAGCCGTTTTGACGTTTATTGGATACAAACAAACAAACAAACAGACAAGCCAAATTTATATATAGATTGAAATACCTGATACAATAGTTTACAAGTAAAACTGATATCCCAGTACCAGATACTAGATACAGAGGGGATACACTTCTTAGCATATCCTCAACCTAGATATAGAGTGGATACATTTCTCAGAATATCATTTTCTAGATACAGGATACAGAGGAGATATACTTCTCAGGATATACTAGATACAGGATATAGAGGGGATATACTTCTAAGAATATACTCAACCTAGATACAGGATACAGAGGGGATACACTTCTCTGGACATCCTCAACCTAGATACAGGATACAGAGTGGATACATTTCTTAGAATATCATTTTCCTAGATACAAGATACAGATATGATACACTTTTAGGGATATCCTCAACCTAGATACAAGATACAGAGGGGTATATTTCTTAAGATATCCCGATCCTAAATACAGGATAAAAAGGAGATGTACTTCTCAGGATAAACTGGAAACAGGATACAGAGGGGATACATTTCTCAGGATATACTAGATACAGGATACAGAGGGGATACAAATTCTTAGGATCTCATCAACCTAAATGCAGGATACAGAGAAGATAACCTTCTCAGCCTCTCAGGATATACTCAACACAGAGGTTAAAAACAACTTTGAATTTGAAATACCTTTTTGAGCACTTGGTAAGTAACTTCTTTCGCCGACATTTTAGTCTGATATTTGTACTTCAGTTAAGAGAAAGTCTTTTTTTTGTGTTCAAATCTAGAAGAGCTAGTCTGATATTTGTGTTCAAATCAGAAGGATATTTGTGTTCAAATCTAGAAGAGATAGTCTGATGTTTGTGTTCAAATCTAGAAGAGCAAGTCTGATATTTATGTTTAAGTCTAGAAGAGCAAGTCTGATATTTGTGTTCCATTCTAGAAGAGCAAGTCTGATGTTTGTGTTCAAATCTAGAAGAGGAAGTCTCATATTTGTGTTCAAGTCTAGAAGAGCAAGTCTGATATTTGTGTTCAAATCTAAAAGAGCAAGTCTGATATTTGTGTTCAAATCAGGAGATAGCTATTCTTGATATTTATGTTCAAATTTAGAAGTGCTAGTCTGATGTTTGTGTTTAAATCTAGGAGAGCTAGTCTGATGTTTGTGTTCAAATCTAGAAGAGCTAGTCTGATATTTGTGTTCAAATATAGGAGAGCTAGTCTGATGTTTGTGTTCAAATCTAGAAGAGCTAGTGTTACGCGAGCTACGCTGCGTTCATAAAGTCTATGTGATACCCCTGTGATTCTCTGAGTTCCCCCTGAGGATCTGTACAGAACGTATTGTAAAGAACTAGTTTTAGAAGCTGTTTACCGTCCGACTACGCATGCGCAAGTTCCCTGCGTAGGAGCGAGCAGTTTCTACTTCAGTATACAGTTGTATTTCATGTAATGTTCGTCGATTATTAAAACCGTGTGAATATTCTAGGACCACTGCGGTAATTATGATTATATTTATATGAATATTGTTTATTTATGTTCGGTTATGGTTGATATTGTATGATGTAATGTATGGGTTCCTTGCCACAGTTTTTTAATGCCTGAGTGGATTTATTGCTGTATTTGTATGATTTATCACTCAATGCTTTTTCTGTTGGCTTATAAAAAATTATTTAGATTGAAGGCTTAGAGAAATAAACGTTCGGAACCTTATTATCATCCTTTTGTTATGGAGAGCGTTGAGAGAAGGAAGCCTTACAATCCTATCCAGAGAAATACCACTCGGTACTTATAGATTTCATTAGGTCTTTAGGGAATTCGCTAAGTAGCGAAACAGCTAGTCTGATATTTGTGTTCAAATCTAGGAGAGCTAGTCTGATGTTTGTGTTCAAATCTAGAAGAGCTAGTCTGATATGTTCATCTCAAATCAATTCAACTTTGTATTTAAGTAAAAAAAAGTTAATAATAAAGGAATTGAGTTTTTGTTGCAAACTCTGATTTTCCTATCCCAATATCTTTGCAACTCAATGTCGGAGGCCTTTGATATTTCAAACTATGAATTCTTTCAAATCAAATAATGATAGCTTGAAATATCAAAGGTTTACACCATGTAGGGATTAGACAATCAGAATTTGTGACAAAAACTCAGCTCCTGTGTTTATTTGAGAAGAAGTAAGATATTTGTATTTTAGTCTGATATTATATTCACTCTACGATAAAGAAACTGCAAACTGTAAATTCTTGTTATCTCTTCCTTCTAGATTTACAGGGTGGTTCAGTCAAATTAGATTTACAGGCTGGTTCAGTCAAATTAGATTTACAGGGTAGTTCAGTCAAATTAGATTTACAGGGTGCAGTTTAGTCCAATTAGATTTACAGGGTGGTTCAGTCAAAGTTGGATTTAGGGTGGTTCAGTAAAAATTAGATTTACAGGGTGGTTCAGTCAAATTAGATTTACAGGCTGGTTCAGTCAAATTAGATTTACAGGGTGGTTCAGTCAAATAAGATTTACAGGCTGGTTCAGTAACAATTAGATTTACAGACTGGTTCAGTAAAAATTAGATTTACAGGCTGGTTCAGTCAAATTAGATTTAGGGTGTTTCAGTAAAAATTATATTTACAGGGTGGTTCAGTCAAATTAGATTTACAGGCTGGTTCAGTCAAATTAGATTTACAGGCTGGTTTAGTCAAATTAGATTTACAGGCTGGTTCAGTAAAAATTAGATTTACAGGGTGGTTCAGTCAAATTTATTAGTAGAAAAACTTTGTAAATTATTTGAAAAAAATTACAAAAATTACAAAAATATTTTAAATCGGAAATTAAAGTATTTTACGAGTTATTCTGTGAAAATGTACATAATGTGGTGCCCAGTGTTTACGTGAGTTGAGAGGGGGGGGAGTTGAAAGTGAACATATAACATGGTGGAAAATGCCCTGTAAATGTACGTAATGTGGTGCCCAGTGTTTACGTGAGTTGAGAGGGGGGGGAGNGGGGGGAGTTGAAAGTGAACATAAAACATGGTGGAAAATGTAAGACATTTTTTATTCATTCCAATCAAGACGCGAATGATGGAAATCTGTAAATTATGAAAATTAAAAAAATTAAAATCAAATCTTAAAATATAAGAATTTTAGGAAGATAGCGCAGATTGTTTTAGAGTTTAATTTAGTTCGCAATATAATGACTCGAGTATACAAGACAAAATTGCATATTTTACCATAACATGTATCTATAAATTCTGCAATGGCATAATTAACCTTTACAAAGGACGGTACCTCTGAGTTTTAGGGGAGTACTGGGAGTAGGAACACTTGAAAACTTAACCGTTACTTGTCAAATGTTAAAAAATATAAGCATTTTTGAATTACAAAAAAATCAATAGAATTAAGGGGATCATTCGTTTGGCGTACCGTACACAAAGAGAATAGAATGTATATTAGAGAGGAATTTACTAGAAAAAAAGTGTAAAACGGCCATTTTGTTGTACTGTTTCCATACTGCAGGTGTACTTCACATATTTATGCTATATAACCTTTTGGGCCCTGGAATATTTNGGGGGGGGGTCAATAATTGACCCCCCCCCAGCATATCCTGGTTTTCAAGTACCCCAGCAGGGATAGGGTTAACAGAAATTATTTATCTTTGAACTTTCAGGATTAAGATTTTTTTCCAATAAAAAAAACAACTTAATATTCTTTTTTTTATCGAAAAACCGAAACTGTCTCAATCCTGAAAAATTAGTCTAGTCCTAATGTAATTTTACTTTATTACTTTATTACTTTATTATTACTTTATTTTTTAGTTGGTGTTTTTACATCCCAACGCATTTTTTCTCTTTATTTTCATATTTATATAATGATGTTTTTCTGTGTCTCTTTTTTCATTGAAATGATTTTAAAAAAAACTGGATTTATGTTAAGTTCAAGTTTAATATTTACAATGTAAGGATGCATAAATTAGAGATTTGAACTTCGTAAATTCTCTAGACATGAGTTCTGGATACGCCCAGTCCAACTGGTCAGCTGTGCTGCGTGCAAGCGTCGGGGGCATCGGATCAAATGACCTATAATGCTTCCCCTCCTCCCTCTCTTGTACTTCTGGGGTTTGAACGTGAATCTAGTCCCGGTATCTAGGTATAAAAACCCTGCTCTCTAATTCAACCTCATCAGTTAGATCACAACCATCCAACAATATGAAGGTTTGTATTTGACTTTATATAAATCTGATATTTCTTGTTATTCATACATATTTATATTCTTTAATTTAGGCTTACCTTTGCTTTGCTCTCCTAGCAGCTGCTACTGCTGATCAGTCCCATCATCAAAGCATCAAGCATGGAAATGCTCCCTCTGTCAGCCATTCTGTTCACAAGCCCCACTTTGCTGGTACAGCTTCTGTAGTAAGCCAGCCCCATGCTGCTCCTCAGGCTGTTGACTCCTATGTAAACCAAGAGAAACCTATTGCAGCCAACCTTGCACCTGCTGCTGTTCCTGGTTACTCATCTTCTCCTTCTTATGCTCCTGCTCCTGCCTACGCTCCTGCTCCAGCTTATGCTCCTGCTTTAGCCTACGCTCCTGCTCCTGCCTACGCTCCCGCTCCCGCCTATGCTCCTGCTCCCACATATGCTCCTGCTCCTGTCTACAACACCCCTGTTGTTGTTGCCCCTGCCCCTGCATACAAAGCTCCTGTTGTCCATGCTAAACCCTCCTATGGTGCCCCTGCATACAATGAACCTGCCTATGATGAACCTGCTGTATATGCTTATGAGTATGCTGTAGCTGATGATTACTCTGGATCTAAGTATAATGCTGGAGAGAACCGTGATGGATATGCTACATCTGGATCCTACTCTGTTGCTCTTCCTGATGGTAGACTTCAGACTGTTAACTACAAGGTTGCTGATCCTTACAGTGGATATGTTGCTGATGTTACATACTCTGGTACTCCAACCTATGGTGCTGCTGCTCCTTCTTATAAACCTGTTTCCCCAGCATACCATGCCTAAGTTATTTATTGTCTAAATTATTAGAAAATTAAATAAATATTTCAAACCAAATTATTAACATTATTTAATTCAATGAGCTTAGTTGGTCTATAGCAATGTACTGTAAAGATAAGGTATTACTTAAAGGGACTGTTCGCAACGTAGCAGATAGTAAAACTAGTAGTGATCAAATCCCTCTTTCATTTTTGCGAACACTTCATTAAATTTTTTTCTTCTTAATCTTAAATAATCTATTATTGTAAAGATTCTAACAGCTGTTACACAGTTTTAGGTGCTAGTTTCAATATTGAAAATAATTTTTGGACAACTTGAATTAAACTAAACATTTGCCTCAAACTTGAATTTTTCTAATCCCTTTATCTTTGCAACCTTATAAAGGTAAATATTTGTTATACTTGAAACATTGAATATTTAAGTTTGAAATATCAAAGGACTACACCATAAGGTTGCAAAGGTATAAGAATTAGATGATCAGCAAGTATGAGGAAACTAAAGAGATCCCTTTGAAGATATTAGGAAAGATCATTCGAAACCTTTGCAGAGGAGAATCCTGAAATATCAAGACATGGTCTTCAGTATCATTTAAGATGTTTTCCAAAATCCAGTTTTATTTTAACATTTCTTTGTTAAATTCTTTGGGGTTTTGTATTTTTGTTAAAGTTAAGAGCAGGGTGCTTGAATTGAAGAACTTATAAGGTGATCTAAACTTTTAAAGTCCACTTTGCATTTTGGTCATTGCTATGCAAAGTTTCAATTATTTTAGGTTAATTGCAGGATGAAATAAATATAACATTGGTACTATATGATCTCAAATATCTCAAACTTATTTTAAATCCCAGGATTTGGGACTTGGGAGTATAATGTAGAAATTATGCAGACCTTATATACAAAAAGTCCTTTAAAAAGGGAACTTTAAAACAGAAGAAAATTGAAAACAGGGTTCTGCTAACCCTTGTTACAACGTTTGTTAAGATATTTGTTGCGGAAAAATCACAAATTTCAGTCCAAGTAGCCTGTAGCGATCTTGTAGTTATGATTAGCCTCTATAAGAACATTTTTTGTAAGTTCTACACTAAACATTAAATGTAAAGGTTTAAAAGTTTTATTTTTTTAAGTTAGTGACAGAAAGGTTTTTCTTTTGAGAAACTGGTCTAATACATCATAACATATTTATAAACTATCTTATTTCCAAGTTTTGTTCAGATTCAGAATTTTTGCCTAATAAAATCTTTGATTAATTGGAGCCATTAAAAAAAATCGTTTTTACTCAATAGTAAAAATATTTAAATTGTTCTACATGTATCAAATTAAGAGTCCTCTGAATAGCACGCACTAATACAGAAATCATCAAGGTATTGAGATAATTAACATAGTTGGTATTGAGATAATTAACATAGTTTTCGTAAATTTGAAAAATACTAAATTTTATGAAAATAATATAGAATTTGGTCTCAATAGTGTAGACTTTGCTCTAAAATGTGATAATCTGTGTACAAATATATTATTTGAAAGTTCTCAAAATGTAAAGGAATTAACCAGGGCAGGGTCGGAAACGTCATGTGTGAGGGTGTACCTGTGTGTAAGTAATACCGAACCGAAGGCGTGTACTGTAGGTATAAACAGTACATAAGAATCCCGGTATTTGTACTTTATACAGTCGAGCAGTGTACATTTGTGTATTGTTTATTGTTTAATAAAAATAAGTTTAATATTAATATATATGTATTTTCTAAATATTTTATATCATATATATCTAAGTCAACAGTTTAAGTGAAAGAATAAAAGTTGATTAAAATTCATAATAAACTATTTGTGGTTCGAGCTTAATTTTGAATGACATAAACAAATTAAATTTGTTTATACTTTTGGGGTGGAAAATCTGTCTTTTTTACGATCAGTAAATTAGATTGGTTGCTGTAACCCTAACTTTTTGTGCTGTGGTAAAAAGTTTTTAAATAATTGAAGAATAATGTTATACTCTTTGTTAAACAAAAAATCAAAATATAGCTAAAGAAAATTTGAGAACCAAGTTCAATAAACTTTACACTTTTTTTAAACCAATAAACATTATTTAAATGATTACAAGTTATTTTAAATTTGCAATATACAGTTATGATGAGACTTAAGAGACAACTGTAGCGAATTTATGCATCTGAATTTATATTAATGATTGTAAACTGTAAACTTGTTTCTTTCTTTGTCAAATCATTAAATAAGCCATTAAATCCCAATATTTTAGGCGAAATAATTAATTTGAACTTAGAGTCCTCATACTTTAAGAGTTTTCCTCTGTTTTTCTTCAGTTTGCATAACATATGCATTCAGACAGTGTGCTTGGGGGCTTAGGCAGTAGGTGTTTAAACCCACGGTTTTAGGCCTAAAAGGAGGGCTATGAGTATTTAGAAAAAGTCCGAAAAATTTAACAGTCTCAGACCAATACTTTTTAATACTTAAAAATACTAAAAGGGGTGTCAAATTACCCCCCCACCGAGGGGGGAGAAGGAAAAAGTAGAAGATCTCATAAGTGTTGAATACTAAGAATTCAATGAGATTTTGGTGATTATTGAGAATTTATTGAGAAGGATAAAGAGGATATAAAAAGAATATTTGAAGTGTGTACAGAATTTAACGCTGGACAAGCGCCATTTCCCTTCCCTTTAATCCTATTTTCTAGGTTAAACCAAAAAAAAAAAAAAAAGAATAGAGCTCAGGGTAGAGATTAGCAGGGTTTCTATATATAAATTTGGCTTGTCTGTCTGTCTGTTTGTCTGTCTGTTTGTATTCCTCCTCTTGATAGTCAAAAGTATCTAAGATAATCAGCCATATACAATGAACTAGTCAGTTTTAGTATTATCCAATCTTTTGTCATTCAGTATTTAGTATACATTTATATTTCTAGCAATTAAAAAATAATTCATCCTATCTTTATAGAGGAGACAGCCTGGAGGATCAAGGCAGTAACCATTCGAAAATCTTCAAATTCACGTCTAAATTGTTATAATAAAGGTAAGATGTATGGTACCGAGAAATTTACAATATTTGTTAGTCTTCTTGCTTTTTAAACCAAATTATATTTTCACAAAAGCTGAAATCCAAGATAAATATATGCAAAGACAGCTGAAGAGAGGAAGGGAAAGGGGGACGTCCCCCCCCTTGGAAAAATTAGGGGCGCATAAAGAGTGTGCAGGAACCTTTCAGCCCTTTAATTAAAAAAAGCACCATATTGTTCAGTCAACATTAAGTTATTTAATAGTAAATAAAAAGGGGGCAACACATTTTCCCCACCCCAGCTATGTCAGGGTTTTGACAGAAAAAACTACCAAAAACCCTTTATAAAAGTTTATTTGGGAGGGGGGGGGGGTTGATAAAAAATATGATTATTCCCCCCGGCCCTTGGGAAATATTTATGACCCTAACTTTGTTCAGGTTGATAGAAAAGTTCAATTGAAGTCCTCCATGTTCTGGATCAGAATAAAGCTGCAAGATGATTTTTTTTAACTTGAAATATTGAAATATTAAAGGAAAACATTTTTTTTGAAAATTAAGTTTTAGATAAATTCAACAATTTCTTGTATTTTTTTGATTTGTTATCAATAATAATAATAGTAATAATAACGATAAACTTTATTGGTAAATAAATGTCCATCTTTAGATGAGGTTGAGTTAAGTCCTACAGTGATAACCAGAAAACTTTGAAATAGACTTTTTGAATCAATTTATCACTATATGAAAAGTCCTAATGGGCATGAGCGTCGATAACATTGTTGTAATGTAAATGGACCCATTAATCTAAATTAGTTGTTTAATAAGTCAGATAGGGTAATGTTACATCGTCAATACGCAACATCCCCCCTAAAACTTCTGACCTACTACCTTTCCGACCTACTGCAATATCAGACCTACGCCAGCTGTTTATTTTTGTATTATTTACGGGTTAGGTTAAGACAATTTCTGGGCCGAGCGTTGCGGCTATGTCAGGCTAGGGGACCGAGCGCTGGGGCAAGGACAGGCTAGGGGTCCGGGCACTGCGGCCAAAAGTCCATTTAGTAGCTGTAAAACCACGTGCTAGTAGGTCGGATGTGTAGTATAGCGGATTTGTCGTAGGTCAGAAGTGAAGTATAGCGGATTTGCGTAGGTCAAAAAATACACCACCATCTCTAGTAAAACTATTTGTTTTGTCAACATCAAATACACTTTAATATTGCTATAATGTCGTCTTCTTATTCGTATCATTTTCTTGTTATCACTGTAGAAAGATTATTTTTTAGGATTACCCTCACCTCACGGGAACAAACTTTTATAACAACGTATATCTAACAATACATGAATTGGTTTCATTTGAATTTTTATTCAACTAAAATGTTTAAATTCAAGAAAGAAAATGATAAGGGGCGTACTCAGGAATTTGTTAATGGAGGGGGGGGGGGGCTCAGCATCTGTTGAGCCCAAAAACCCCTTGGAAACCATACATTTCACTGATTCGGGGGTGGGATGAGCGCCCTTAGCTTCACCCCTTTGTACGCTTTTGAATGTAAATGAATATAAAAAGACACCCAAGTATTATTGTACAGTTATAGTTTCTGAAGTATCTTGCAAGGGTAACCCTGAAGATTAGGGTAGCCCCTCCCCCTCTTGCACACTGTTCAGACAACAATAATTTGTCAGTAATTATTTATTACAAGCAGTGGCTTACCCGGGAACTAACTTTCAGGAGGGGACTAATTTTTTTCCAGATTTTTTCCAATGGGGGGGGGGCGAGCACCCATATCCCCACCCCCTAAGTGCGCCTCTGATTACACAAACTTTGATAATTTAATCAAA